GGTAGACCCATTAGTGGGTAACAACCTGGAAACAAACAACAAAAGAACAATTTTTGCTAGGCAACAGATTCTCAGTAAGCACTTACACGTAGTTGTTACTGGGTAACCCCTTCGCAAACAAACACATTTCCATGGAAATGATTGGAGTACAATGAACAGCATTTTCTACATGTTCCAAACTGAGATGTTATAACCGAGACAAGTTAGAAGTTAGTCAGTTGTAAGAGACTCTGTGAAGTGAAGGCTTGGAGAGTGCAGTTGAATAATCCCCACTGTTAAAGCTGTTACCAGGGAATGACTAGTGGAGACTGCAAAAGACTGGAAAGGTGTCTGCTGTTGTGATTTGTAAAATATGGAAATTAGTGATAGTGTTATAGTGATTTGCAGTTACAAACTTTAAGTGGTCAATAAATCCAATCGAAAACCCCGTTGAGAGTCACCCTGACATGTGACAATATATTTTAAAATTGTGGCATGGGAGGTAGAGGTGATGCAGTTTTGCAGGTTCTAAAATGCTGATGTAACTTTGAACTTACTTTACTTCGGTTTACAAAGAGTTGGCAGGTTCTCTAAGATTTGAATTCAAGAGTTTTCGAGTTCTTTACAATTTCAATTCAAAATGAATAAGTCTGTATGCACAGAAAAATCATAGATAACAGTATATGCTTGGCATGTGTAAGGCTTACAGTGACATAACTGTAAAACAGAGAGATCTCTCCTGACATCCTGAAACATCTCACATGATAAAACCAAGAAATTCTGGGAAGAACCAGTGATGGTTACTTCCCTTTAAATGTTTCATTCTGTATGACAGTGCTAGCAAGATCTATAAAGGATCACTTATAAGAGTTAAGTGATTTATTTCTGTGCATAGTTTTAACTAGTACAGATTTTGACTATGTCAGATTGCCCCAGTGGAATCTCAGAGTTTTTCACTGCCATCATATTAGTAATTGTTAACATATAAGATGTAAGATTTGAGGTTTTCACGGTGGTAACTATGAAGAAAGCAGTCTTCTGGTATGTGGCGCCATGTACATATTGTGTGACTAAGGACACCGGGTGTATACAGTATCCCATGTGAGTGCAGCAACGTCTATATTGGGCAGACGGGCCGTTCCATGGACATGAGGTTGAAGGAGCATCAGCGGTGGATTCGTCTTGAACATCCAGACAAGTCAGCTGTAGCTGAACACAGTATTGATCTGGGACACCGCATTTAGCTTCAGAACACCTCCATCCTCACCATTGAGATTGATCACCATCCCGACAATATGAACAGAGAGGTGGGGTTTTGTCTCAGCAAGTCATGGAAGCCTCTCATCTGTTCTCTCAAGAAACCTGCGGGACATGATGCCACATCCACAAGGCCACGCTAGTCCAAGCCCGATTCGCATAGCAACCCTGAAGCTTAAGGGTTGATGCCCTCCTATTAACCTTGCCTTTCTCCCCTGACACAATGTTCTGTACCTACTTTAGCCTGCTACCTGCTGGCCCACCTCCCCAGACCCTTCTCCTCTCTACTGATTTCCCATGTAGCTCTTCCTGCTCTTATACAGCTGGGTTTTTTCTTGACTTCAGTCTATGAGCACCTGCTCATGCTGGTTCTTCACTTGCAGATTTTCTTCTATTCTTTCTTCTACCCTGAAAATGTAGGCCATAAGTTGCCCTGATACGTCGGTTAATACAATATCGACGCGGTGCTACATCCCAGAAGACTGCTTTCTTCATATAAGATGTTTTGTACATAATTTCTAGGTGCTTGTACAATCCGCCTTCATAGAAAATGTCATATGCATGGTGCATTCGTTATTGCCATCATACCAGAAGCTAAATATCAGTTTAATGTTTTGCCCGTGTTCTGTGTTAAACTTTTATTAACAAAAGTTGCATATATTTTGAGGATAATGTGTGACTTGTTACTGCCATGGCTGCTGTATTTAGATACTAATTATAACAGAACATTGAAAAAGTTAAGATCAACTTGGACTCTAGTGGCATTATATTCGTTCCAAATTCCATGAAAATTTGTCAGTTGGTTGAATATTTTTAGAGGGGATTAGATATCAAGGCACACAAATATATGGTATAGACCTAATACATGTTATCTATGTCCACCATCAAATCGGGTAGTGAAAATGAAATGGATTCATTTCACTGAACCAAGTGAGTTTCATTGCTGTAGCACAACTGTTTAATTTGATGTCGGTTATTAGGAATTACAGGAGATTATAATAATTGAATTACTGCACAGTTATATTTTGTATAACATTAATTTAATTACCCTCAAATGTAATTTTCTTACCCAGAATAAAAAATACTGCTATTCGAATTAATCTGTTAACCTTTCTTTGGGTTTGGAATTTAAGGTTGTCTGTGCATAAGAATATTGATTTTCATTGGCTAGTTCGGAGTGACAGTATGGAATCTTATCATGAAATTATATTATCTTTATTTATCTGTATTGTTGTGGAGGTAACATAAAATGACAGTCTTCTTTTACAGCAACATTTTTTGCATGATTTAGTTTGGTCTTAGTGGTATTTCGCTTGATGGTATTGTAAAGAAAGCTGCTTCTAATGTGATTGAGGTATTGTATCAGTATAGATTTGATTGCTCATATTAATGTGTCTTCTCTAAAAATTAAGTACAGTTATAATATTTTAACTTAAACTCCAAAATTAGTCATAATGTTCTTATAAAGGTGTATTAAGATATGGTTTTCTGGGATGTGACACTGTATACTTTAGTAGATTGGTTGCTTCAAACATTGGTACATATCTTCAAGGCTACACAGTGTTACATCTGGAGAAGGCCCTGAGAATGTCAAATGTCACGAAGCTATATTAAAATTATATTTTGATACTGGCTGTTAACCTTCTCACTGTTTCATTACATAGCATGTTCACCATTCTGTTATACTGGTTTATTTGGTACACAGAAGTAAGTTCAACAAAACTATTTCAAGCCCCAGGAACGTCAGTAGTTCGCATACATGTTTCAGAGATTATGGATTATGTGACTTTTAGTTTCTGTGAAGTATTTAGTAGTGAAATAATAAAACAACTTGATAGTAATCTTTGTCGGAGAGTCAGTGGCTTAGTTTTACCATATATATAATTTAGTTTTGTTAACTAAGTTCTGTGTACAGAAAATTCCCAAACAGCTCTGTGGAACGTCGGGCTGAATCCCCACCTCGAAGGCAGGGAAATGGAATAAATTGAGAACCTGACATTGGAAATTTTATTGTTTTGTATGTATGTGTACCTGTGCTGTGACTGTAGTTAGTTAAGACAATCTGGTAAAGGGAAGAGGGAGCAGGAGGAGCGTGTGGTTCAGGAGGTAAGGAGCAGTGTGCAGTAGCCAAAATAAAAAAAAAAGTCAAATCAGTGTCTGCTGCATGTGTCTGTAAAACTGTACATATTTTCATCCTTCTTGGGGAACAAAACAAAAAAATACAACAGCAACAACATCATCAAAAACAAACGACATGAGATCACTAATGGAAACAAAGTTGTTTGTCTCCCTCACTACACACACTCTCTCTCTCTTTGCTTTTCTCTCTCTGTGCCAGCTCGCAGCTTGTGTCTCTTTCATGTTGCTCTCTTTCTGTGTAGGTGTTTTCAAGATATCCCTCGCCCTGCCCTGCAAATCTATCTAGTGGCTGTACTTTTTTGTTTGTTCTTTCTCTTGTGGAATCTCTGTACAGCTGTACTTACTGTCTTGTAATGTGTGTACGTATGTTCAGTGTGTCAGTGTTCAACACTCAATAAAATTCAACTCAGTGTGCCATACAGCTCTTGCTGTCAGCCTGCATGCACAGGTGTGCTACAAACCCACAGGGGACATACATTCACCTCCAATCCCAGCAAGTTATTTTGTTGTATGTGTTTAGCTGGAACCATCGGTGTGTGGTGGTGATGTATATATTACTGTGAGTAGCATTGCTTGCCTGTACTCACATTTTATGCAGTTCTTTCTGTTAAGCAGATGACTGCAAACACAGATGATTGAAGACTTTAGTTTTGCCCATCACAGTGTAGTTATGTAGTCAAAATTTATAACAAGTGATGAATTAAGTTTCTGTTGTTGCAATCACAGGTTTGAATTTCACTACAATCCTGGATGATTGTGTTCTTTTAAAAATTCTTTGTCAGATGTATATCTTGTAAATGGCTCAAGTACGGAAGTATATGTTCACATTTGATGAGTCCTTGGCTAGAGAAATCAAAGAAGACATAAGAGAAACCAGTAAAAACATAATTCTGGTTGTCCACCATTTTTGATGACTGCAAGCAACCATGTACCCAAATAAATGTGAACCAAATTTATTAGTAACATGACACTTTGTTCATTGTGTAAGGATCGTTTCACGCAGCCACCTCTGATACAAACTGTTCCTGTATATTTTTTTTATCCAGTATGATTGGTCTCTATGATGCCATTGCCAAACTTTGACTTTTTGACTTTTCTCGATACATAATGGAATGTTTGCAAGGATAATTATAGTTGAAGTCCAAATTTAATTTTAAAATTAAATATTTTAGTTTTTGTTAACAGTTCATGCAGATTTACTTTTTTCGTAATTTATCACTGTATTATTTATATTTGTTTCTAACCCCAATCTCAGATTGCATATATTTACATAAAAAGTATAATATTATTATTCAAACCACGCTATGCGAGTATATAGGCCTTTTAGTACTGCACATTATTTGGATGTGCATAACATCTCTGCATGTAACAGATGACATTGGCATATGGAATACAGTCAGACCCTAAAAAAGATTTAACGTTGATGTGCTCTTGGTGTATTTGACATGCTTCATCATGTAAATTAAGTTACATCAATCTGTGTGAAACTGATGACTTGCTGGGATTTATAAAAAAAATCTTAATGTTTTGGCCCCTTCTTTGGGTGTCATAAAATTCGTCGAATCTGCTTACTTTGTCGATAGGAAGACTAAATGGCTGTGGCTCTTTCTTTTTGTGCTGCTCAGAGCAAGGAAGCTGGCATCCGCACACTGGTTGCCCTGGATGACCAGGGAGGTGAGTTCCCCTACTCCTCCCTCACATGATGTCAGATCTGGTGGAGGAAGGAATCAGTCTGATACTGCCTTCAAAGTGTTGATTTGTTACCGTGCTTTTCATAAATTTTGTCAACAAAATGTTATACAAAGCAAAAAGACATTGAACATTAGTATGAATATCCACTAGGCCTGACACTGTATTCCTGACATGCATCAATTCCTTTTGATGACTAAATTTACATCAAATGGGCATGACACATTTGAGAAGTAACATTTGTTTCATGTTAATGATTGTGTTTAGTATCAAAATATAACTGTAATTTTTTTTAAGAATGAGTAGGCCAAGATAAAAAAAAATTCACTGATCTACAATTTATACTGCATCTGTTTATTTCAAATTCAGTTACACATCCATTAGGTCATATATTAGTTGTAAATTAAGCACTGTTATCTTTCATACAGCTTTACATGAACATAGTAATATTTCAACTTTGAATTTCTTACATCACTTACCATACATCTGTCACTTATATTCATTCACCCTTCTTAATATGAAGTTCTTCATTGGCTTCATTTCGTGAACTAGAGTTGTACATGTTTGCCACTTGAATATGACCAAGATTTTGTGTTTTGTTTAATGGAAGATAGACATTGAATGAAGTATGATTCATATCCTGATCGTTTTTCCCTGCCGTAATTCATGTGGCATGCCCATTTCTCAATAAAAATCCTCTCACACCTTTTAAGTTGTTAATTACTGGCCATCATTAAGGATGGTGACATGAAGACTGCACTCCACCTGTGATTGCTTTCAGCAGCTACAGTCAGTATTCTCTTGTAAGGTTGTTTGAAGGTGTTTATAAAATAGTAGCTTGTAAAGCTATTCAAATCAGAATGTGAACAGACAAACCAGGACTAAGACAGTAAGGCTGCATTCGGTCGCATGTATTATGTTGCTTCATTTTAAAAGAAAGTTTATAATTTAAAGTTATAGAATCTTCATACTAATTAAAATATGTACTAAATTTTACCTAACTATGTAAATCTTTCAGTGATCTGAACATAAATTGTAATATCTGTACTAACAGAAAATACATGTCAGTAGTTCACTTTTGTTATTATTATATGGCTCTTTGTAGGATGAGTCTTGCTTTAACAGCTACACACATCTATACACATGTAAGTACTACACAGTTCCGTAAATATAGTTTAGAACATAATACACACTGTTACAATATTTGAAATGTAATAATGTACACAGTTATGTCATATAATAATATTTATTAAATGTCCATTTGTGATTTTATGTTGGTTTCAAACTATTATGATGCTACAGACTTTGGGCTGGTGTGAATAGATGGAACAGTCTTCTTGATGATAGCAAAAGAGGCATCCTGTATTTGTGAGTTGATATTTATTTCTCTACACTACACATAAAAAATGAACATATTAGACAGTCAGGTATAATAATCAGAGAAATACTTGAATGAGACATTCCTGCCATGTTTTAAAATTTGAGGTTTCTTCTGTTACCGAGTTCTGTTGTGAACCAGCACTCTGCCCCACATCACAGTGTTTGGTGCTTAGTTCTAAACAAAGTAATGAACATAAACACAAGTGTTACAAGTCACATCAGCGAATGAATGAATAACTGTACATTTAAAGAAATGACTTTGCATGTTTGTACTGTACTCAGGTTGTGTGTATATAAAATCTAGTTGAAGGTGGTATGGTTGTTTTTTGAAAGGCTTTATCTTGAGAAAATGGTATCTTTGTATTTTTGGCTCAGTATGCCCATCCTCAGCAAGACTTTCTTGAATTTGACAATCTACATGTTTATTGATTTCCTGCGTCCATTGACATTCATGGCTTGGCCGTGGTGGAGAGGCTCAGCGAATGTTGGTGTGTGTGCGTTTCAGTCTGCCTTCAGCTCTAGTGCTGCAGTCCAGCTGCACTTGCTTGCCATCACTTTGTCTTGTAGCAAAGCTATCCCTGTACCAGGCCATGAGGGCCCATGGGGTTGTGAGACATTGAGGGTCCCACATTATCTAGACAGTCAGTAAGGTTGTCAGCCTTATGCACCGGCCGCGCTTTACTCCCCAGGAACATTATTTAAGTAATTCCTGGTACTCATTTCTGTTAGAGTCTGAGTTGACCCCAGGGCCATAGTGCGGCTGGAAGGATCAGGTCAATTGAAAAAAATCCAGTCCATCTCAGAAATATTTCATCTCAATATTGCATCTACTTGCTTTTGCTTATGTCTGATTTTTCTTGCTCTAAAGTATTTTGAAATTTTTTGTTTTAATTTATGTTTCTGAAAAAATTCTTATGCAGAAATGAATAGTGCTGCGTAAGGCAATAACTTATATTTTTATCGGCTAATTCCATGAGGCAGAACCCTTCTTCAGAAGCTGATAGTCTCTCTGCTGGATAAGAAATTCCGTGACCTGTTATAGAACCAGAAGGGCTTAATACAGTGTTCACTGGATACTATCCTAAGCCAGAGGAATTTAGTCAACATCCTCACATTTGTTTGCTTGACATTGCTCTTTAACAAGCCCATGGAAATTGCACAATGTTAAGAGAGACTTCACAGAATTCACTTTGTGAATATGTATATAAGTTTGTATCTTAAAAGTGAAGAATGCTACAAGCAGCGATACAGGCAAGTACAACTGGACATTTGTCTGTGTGTTCAGTCAGGATTCCTCCCCCTTACACATGTCCTCACAGTTCAAGGAAGGGGGTTGACACTGTAGAATTCATGTTGGAAACTCATTTTCCGTTTCCTGCTTTCGGCAGTGTACGCTTCTTTGTTTCTGTTTGTTCTTTTGTTGATTATATAATGTTATTTTGTAGCATTTTAAATATTTGTTTCCACTTACATCTAATTGTGCGTGTGTTTGTTTTTAAAATTTTATTATTTCCTTATTTTCCTGCCATTGTAGAGTCAAGACGTTGGTGGACAAACGCTCATGTTGTTGAATCATCAAGGGGGTAAGATAGCCCATAATAGGGCACTGTTTTAGTAGTCATGCCAATAGAGGTGTGAATGTTTATCTTGGGCAATCACTAACCCATGTTAACTTATTCTAGGAATGCACCAATGAGCATCATGCAGATTACACATAACAAGTTTTCTGGGTTTAATTACCTGCTAACTGGAGAATGATTTACAACTTCAGCAAAAGTTGGAAAATTTGTCTTCAAACCAACTTACATTAAATAAAAAAGTGGGTCCAGTTTGTGGTGGTGGAGGTGGTGGACTCTTGACTGTATGTGTTCCCACCAACAGAAGGCTGCAGAGTTGGAGCCAGCTATGGTGCCTGTAGTTTGTTAGTAGTTGGGTAGTGGTGTAGTGGTAGTGTTAGAACAGTAGACCGTCTGTACTGCTCAGCAGTCCAGCCCAGCTGAACCTGAACCCAAGGATCGAGCAAGCTCACTCAGGAAAAATTCCTCCGACTTTTGTAATCGTTTGTGTTGCATGCAGTCCTCTTTTTATTTAACACCACTTTAATTCATTTATTAGTCCTTGTTTATTTATTTAGTCTTATATTTTAATTTTTATGTTTATGCATGTTTGTAGACTTACTATGTTTTTAACTAGGGATGACATAAAGCATTCTTGTTTCTGATATGTGAATACAACCATTTTAGCGTTTATGGCTGTACTATATTGGTCCATTTTTTTACATAAAGTATTTGTTTCAAAATTAATAAACTTGAGAACCTAGTGCTTAACATGGTTTAGATGGTATGCTTCACTCATAAAATGTTGCATTCAGTTGCTGCAGAACTATGGTAATTGCAAGGAAGATGTTACATTCAGCATACAGTTATGAAGTCCTCAGCATCATGTAAAACATAAATGTTTTCTTTGCAAAACCATAGTGCATCGGTGTCTTTAAAACTTTTTGTGAATATGTTTATAATGTTTCTCATTGAAGAATTTCATTGTTGGAATTGTCATCCCTAGGTTGTCCACTGGGTTACATATTTTCACTGTGTTTGTGAATAGGATTATAGTTGTTTTCGGTGAAGTTATTCATCTCCACACTTGTTGATGCTCCTGTTACTATTTTTGTAGAGCCACGAAGTCGGAATGAAAACGCTAGTGATGTTGGATGAACAAGGGGGTAAGGTTCCATATTATGTTGTACTATGTTGTACAACAGATCTTTCTGTAGATGTGTGGGTACTCGACACGAATCGAGTAATCACCTGAGTGTCATGTGTTCTTGACGTATTTACTCTTTTTTGTTTGTGTTGGGTAACATGCGAATATTATTTGTGAGCCTAAATCATGCCAGATTGTTAGGAGCAAGACTTTACTGAAATTATTCAATATTATACGGACTTACTAGGCTTTATGATAAGGTGAACGTAGTTGCTAATACTATTTTCTTTATGTTGTCTGCTTTAAATTTCATTTTATGGTAATTATGCAAAAGTTCTTTGACCATGTAGAAGCTGCATGTATATGGCAGACAGGCAAGCCTAGATTATTTGAAAAACTTTGTCAGATTTGTTATTTTAACACCAAAGATAATATGAATCTAAATCTTTCCCCTTTATAAGACTGCTGCAATTGCTTATGCTCTTATTCAGTGGACCTAGTCTGAGAGTGCAACCGTTTGATAAATAGTACAACATGTCCTCTGACCAACAGAAAATGATATTGGATGTGTTACCTTAAACACGGAAAAATCTGAATAGTTCTGCCAACTGAGTGTCTGTCATATACACATTTATTTTAATTTCACTGAAATAGCATGGAATTAATGAAGAGGTTAAACTTAATATCCTTTTTAATTTTTTGGCAGTGTCATATTTTAATAGACTAAAAGAGAAACCACAATAATCTTCATGGTATATTAGTTGCTTGTTATAGGTGGAACTCTAAGCTTGAATGGTCAGAGATTCCATTTATATGTTTTGTGGTCAGGGGCACCATTTCCTTGTATCCAGTTCTGGGCAGCCAGTACAGTAAATGTGGCAAGAGAAAGCTTTCTCTCCATT